AGATAAAATTGTAGCTGCTAGATGTCTTAAAATAGAAAATGAATTTAATACAGTTTTTATTTTCAATCAACTTTAGCCTAGATTTAAAAGTTTAAAACTCTAAACATCACAAAAAATTGATTATGAATGGCATTGTTTGGGAAGAATATAACTGTTTGTGCACGGTGTATAGAAAATCACCGCATAAAGATGAAACAAAAAGTGCAGGCTTGCTGTGAAAATTTAACTTTATCAGCTATATTTGTCTTTTTGATATGGATTGCACAGTCACTTAGAAAAGATGCAATAAATGCATATCTGTTTTAAAATGCTGGATTAATATTTTATTCTATGGCTTTAATACAGTTTATTAAATTTATGTATAAGGAATGACTTAGGACAACTCTCTGATAAGTCTTGACTTAATCTCAACTAAATTAGCTGTGTATCTTCCAAGATCCTGATTTTGGATAGTCTATAACATAGCTATTCAACTACATTGCTCAGGGGGCCACAGTTACTGCAGTCAAGAACTCAGGGGCTGGACATCTAGCAGTTACTGTCATTAAGTAGGTTTGTTTTATGGTCTAAAATCTAGTTTTATTTAAAAATGAACCCATTTGGTGGGCCAAACTGAGTTCACCCATGGGCCTGATTTGGCCCCTGGGCCGCCCTAGGAATAGCCCTGGTGTAGTGAGGGCTTTTATGAATTTGCCACTTTTGCATTCTGACTCTATGGTGCACAGTGTTGCCACAAGGGGGCAGTAAATGCAGCACTGCTTACAGTGTAAATCCCTAGAAGAAGTTGCACTGACTAGTTAGAAAAGACAGCTACAGTAAACATCTACAGTGTGGTGGACAAAAGTGAAGAGAACTTTGTTAGAACATACTTTCACCTCTGGGAATGTCTGTGATATTTCAACACATCTGGGAACACACCAGTCAGTTGTGAGTTTACCTTGTGTCAACTCAAACTGGAAACAGATGGTGAATAACAAAGTGAGTCAGTAAAAGTTTCCATCCTCCCATTGTCCACCAAAGCTTTTTTTGAAAAGACAAAATCCACCTCAAACTAATTAATTAAATTTTGTTATTCATCAATTGAAGTTTAATAGAAATATATTTATTGAGCTTATGGAACATGTGCATCTCAAAAAAACTAAAATATCGAAAGAGAGTTCAATTTTATTTATTTATTGTCAATCATTTCAGAAAGCTTATTGATAAAGACCTTTATTTCTTGTAATTTTGATGATTATGGATTGCAAATAATTGGAAAAAAATTCAGTGTCTCAGAAAAATATAACATTGTGAAGAGGTTCAATATTGAAAACTTCTGGTGCCACACCCTAATCAGTTATTTAATTCCCAGACATGAGCTACAAAATGTCACATTCCTCAAGTCAAGCCTCCCCTGAACCAGGGACAACATCAGAAGTGTCTCACCTGGGTTGAGGAGAAAAAGAACTGGACTGTTGCTCAGTGGTCCAATGTCCTCTTTTCAGATGAAAGTAAATTTTGCATGTCATTTGGAAATCAAGGTCCCAGAGTCTGGTCCCAAGAGTCAGAGTCTTGGAGTCAGAATCCAAAGTTGCTTGAAGTCCAGAGTGAAGTTTCTACAGTCAATGATGGTTTGGTGCCAAACCATCTGCTGGTGTTGGTCCACTGTGTTTTCTGAAGTCCACAGCCAGCGCAACATCTACCAGGACATTTTAAAGCACTTCATGCTTCCTTCTGCTGACAAGTTTTATGGAGATGCTGATTTAATTTTCCAGCAGGACTTGGCTTCTGCTCACGCTGCCAAAAGTACCAAAAGCTGGCTGTGGAAATTCTAATTTTCCGAGACACTGAATTTAGTTTATTTTTTCATTATTTGTAAACCATAATCATCAAAATTACATGAAATAAAGGCTTGAAATATTTCACTCTATGTGTAATGAATTTATACGAGTATCACTTTTTGAAATGACTGACCAAAAAAAAGAACTTTTTCACACTATTATTTTTTTTAGATGCACCTGTACACAAGTTACTGAAAATTCAGGGCATGCATGGCCTCAGTTACAAAGTAATTGATTGCTACACAATAATGTGATGTAAAATATTTTTTACTAGAAAAACAACAATAACATAAGATTAACACCAGTGGTGAGCACCTGGTATAGGACTACGTTTTCTTTTTCATTTCAGCTTCAGTAATGAAGATTGGCTTTGGACAATTCATACCAAGTCCTCGAGGCTCATTGAGACTAACATGTATAAATACGTAATTGTTGAATGAATACCGCAACATATTCTATATGTATTTATTTATTTAACCTTTATTTCACCAGGTAAAACCCAATGAGATCACAGATCTCAGGGTCAAGGTAGACCGGGGTCTGAAGGCAGCCTAAATGTGCATGTTTTTAGAATGTGGCAAGAAACTGGAATACCTGGAGAAAACCTGTGCAAACATGAGGAGAACATGCAAACTTCACACAGAAAGACTTCAGGCCCAACCCAGGGTTTGAACCTAAGATCTTCTTGCTGTGAGGCAACAGTGCTAACCAATAAGATGTCATGTTGATATTGAGATTTCTGGCTGTTTACAAGGCTGGTTTGTGTCAAGCCAGGATCACGTCAGACTGATGTTTGCCTGGTTGTGATGGTTGGCTGTAAAGTTCTTATTTTAGCTGGTTGTTTTTAATGAAAAAATAATTTAAAACTCTCACTGTTGAATTTAGTCTTCATTTTGTGTTGCAGCACAAATAACTGGGTTGTAATATAAAGTGAATTGCAAATGAAACAATTATTCTACTAAGATTTAGATTTTTTTTTTTAAACAAAATCAGAAATTAAGTTCATTTGACGTAACAGAATTCACTCATTTATGCTGATTACTGAGTGTTTTCCTGAACAAGTTTACAAACTTCAATTTGTTGCTGATAGCGCCTGGTTTGCACACTGAGAAATAAGCAAAGATCTGGAGGAATGGTTTTATATATATTTATTTTTAAAGGCATGAAAGGAGAATTTAGGTTTGCAGATTTACGTTGTTTTTTCATATATGTAGAACAGCAGAACCTCCCATAGGCTAGGTTTTTATTTCTAACAGCAATAAAACAACTACCTCTCTGCTTATAGAGGACATATCACCTGTGACTTGCACAATCTTTTTTCCTGCTGCACAAGGGACATTGTGGTGAGGCTCCTTGTTTTACAACTGAAGATAGACACCAAAAGTGGGTGCAACAGTGTAGTTCTGTCCTTCCTGGGTAAATAGGCTGTAAACAACTAAATATATCCAGTGAGCCTTCAGCTTTTATGCGTCTTCTTCTCTAAAATGCTGAAATACTACTAATAAGAGCAGTAGTACTGACTAATTTTTGAGGAAAATGAGAGAAGTAATGATTCTGCACAGAGACATTATTTTGCTTCCTCTGGAATTTGCTGTAATAAATCAAAGTTTATACCATAATTGTTTATATTTATTTACATATTTATTTTGTTTAATTTCTGCAATCTAATTATTTTGTATTTTATAAGAAAGTTATTTTGAAGTATATTATAAAATGTAAGACTTTTTACAATATTTTTATACAAGAGCTATCAGACGAATACTGTTTAAAACATAAAAAAAATAAACAAATAAAAAAAACAATTAGCCCCTAGAATTATAGAACATTACATTACACTAAACTTTCACGGTTGATAAAAAGTAAAGAAGGAATGTATTTTCATGATGCATGAAAAAGGAGAATTTTGTAGAACATACAACAAATATTATATTAGCTTATTATATTATACACAATAAATCTAACGTGGAGGTAAATATATATCAGTGTTAGTAAAGTTATCTTTATCGTCCTCAATGAAATACATTGTCTGAAATATTTACTTCTCTGCAAAGACAAAAAAAAATACATTGCTGTGGTCTGTACTAATTAGGACTTCACCATACATGACCGACTGTTTAAACAATGAACAGAGAAGGGCGTTTCTTTGTTTAATTTATATTTTTGTTTCACACTTAACTTTATGGTGAATATTGGAGGATAGAAAATATGAACGTATGTTAGGAAGACTGTTTCAAGACTTCAAGTGTTAAAACTGGTTTAAAAGTAGCTGCTTACTTAGATCCTTGGTGGTGGACAAAGCTCAGAAAAATTCAGCCAAATAATATTGATTATTGGCAATAGGGTCCGTGTACATTCAGGCAGTTCGATGACGCTTTGTTATCTGATTTTTCATTTTGGTTTAATAAATGAAAAACGAAAAAACAAGTGCGTTTTTATTTAGTCATTTTTTTGTTTCAAACGAAAAAACTAACTACCTGAATGTACACGGACACATTAGCCTTCCCTCTCCCAATTTTGGTATCTGCGATAGCCAAAATTTCCATATAGGTCGGGCTTTGGTATGGACCACAAAACATTTGTCAAAAATAGCAGAACCAGTTAATTTTTACTGCATGGGTTGAAGGATGCAATATATTTTTGAAGGGATTATATAAAAAAAATATTCAAACTAGCCTGATACAAAATTCCACATAATGAGGTTGTGGTAAAGACAGCCAGTGAAATGATGACAATAAAGATAAACATCAGCGGATACACCCAGAACTTAATCAAAGTGCAGCGCTCTGTGACGGTTGGCGACATTCAATCACTCGTGTGTAAACACTGGATGGCTAGCGTGAGAAACAAGCATGCTGTCTACACAAGACCACAGACACCAACACAGAAAAACACACGATGCCAGTGCACATCAAACACTCCAGTGTGAAGCTTTCCAATATTCCACAAATATTCATTATCTAAACATTGCCTAAACAATGTTAGGTAAACTACCACTTATACTCAACAGTATTTCAGTTGCACAACACACAGAAACATACCAATAAAATGAGGGAAAGCCAGTGAGCCAGTGACATAAGCAACTTCATACCCCATGTGGATTACACTTGAGCGACATGACGTCAACCCCCCCTCCCCCCCCCCACACACGCACGCACATTCACTGGTAAAATCACACCCTACCTGACACTCTCCTGTTGAATCTGCTGGGTGGAGGAGCTGCAGGGAAAAAGAGAAAAGAACCAATATTAACATCACGGTTATAACATTTAGCACAACTTTGTGACTGTTCTGAAGTTCTCATAACTATAAGTTGTTATGAAAAAACAAAAGAATTTACAAAACATGAAAGTGAGAGACACCAAAAAGAGAGACTGTGTGTGTGTGTGTTTTATACTATAAAATGAGACAAACTGAATGTTTAATAATTAGACTTCCTCAATGAAAAACAAACTATTTGACCAGACACTTTAAGTAACATCAGTATCGAAGAAATGCAGTTTAAGTGACACAGAATATGAAGACAACAAAAGGTGAAAAGACAAAAAGTAGGGAGTTAGTGTAACAAGACCTAAGAGCAAAACAAACAAAAAAAAAAAGTTGAGAAAACGTGACATTGTCTTCAATTGTTGAAAAAAAAAAAAAAAAAAAAAGGAGGATAAAAGAAAAAGAAAAAGTAAAACAGCTACAGATAAGAGCATGACAAAACTGGGTAGAGTTCACAAATTGTTTAATGAGAACAAAACTAAAAAGCAACAAAAACCAAACATTATCAGACTCATCAGGTTTTTTCCCCCAAAAGAGCACAAGAAGCCAGATAAAAATGAGTATAATTAACAAGTTAAATACTATAAAAGTATGAAGGTAAAACGGTAATACTAGACTAGTACAGCTGCATTACATATAATTAAATTAGACTTGGCTAGCAACACATTTCTGAGAAGCGTGAACAGGTTTCTGTGTTTTGAGCTCTCACAAAGTTTTTTTGTTTGACACAGTTTCTCAACAGAGTCCTGAGCTTCAAGCTGTTGAAACTCATAGTTTGGGTGCACAAATGTTGTTTGGATACTTTTAATGTTCAAAAGCCACTGTGATTTTCTGTGCAAGTACCAGTAATTCAGTGTTCAGGTACTCATAACGGCAGGCACAGGCCGGCTACGGTGCCTTGAGCAAATCCCAGAACCGGCAGAACTGCTGAGAACCTAACAAGCCCAAAGGTATTCATGCATGCCAACAAGCTTTCTTCTTCTAATTGATTTAAAGCCTGTGTCAGCAATTAATCCTAGTGGGTTAAATAAAATATACTCCTTTTTGTTTTGGCTTTAACAAATGTTGATTAAATTACATCAAATACAAGCAAAAACATCCTGTACAAAGAAGGGGATGATTCCAGGAAATGTTTAAACAGCAACTGTGAGTTTATTTTCTGCTCATGATTTCAGAGCTGTGCATTGGACATGAAGCAGTATTCATCACTGAAAACAGTTTCTAGGAACAATAGAGAAGAGCAGAATGATTTTACAGTGCATCAGGGCTAAAGACAAATAACTTATTGGGGGGGGGGGGGGGGGGAAGGAACACCCAAATTAATTGCATTGGTTTGTTTTGAAAGTAATTCAGTTTGAAAGGTTTAAATGCTGAGCATTTAAAAATGAGCAAAATTTGTCGAAGTAAAAATAACATTTAATTTAAAGGTAGTTTTATAGCAGCAACATGGAAGTAAATGTTTTACTTCGACAAATTTAGCTCATTTTTAAATGCTCAGCACTTAAATACAATTCTAAACTTCTTTATATCTGCTACTTAAATTTGTTTATTACTGCTCTTCTCTGAGGATGAGCATGGTTTATAATAGACATGGTTTAACGGGCAACTTATTTTTTCTCAGGTTTCTATCTCCAGAAGACCAAACAAATAAAAAACTCATTTGATAGGATCTGTAACTTTAGGGAGGGGCTTTTAGTCCTGCACACAAGCATAAAGACCACTGAATGACTTGAATATTTTTTCCTCTACTCCTCAGAAAAAAGCGTCAAATCTATCAGAAGGTTCTGTTGCTACTTCTATGAATAAACTGGATTGAAGCTTGTTTGTTTAGCTTTGCAAAAAAATATTTATTTTGTTGTTAAACTCTTTATTTCTTGCTAATCTGGCTTAAATTGCAGACACTGCAAAGGAACTTAATCCAAACTATCTTTTTTGAAAATAATTTGAAAGATATGAACTATGAATATGTTAAAGACTTAGGTTTCCATTTTGTACTACACAGCAACTAACTAACTAACTAACTAACTAACTAAATAACTATAGATAGATAGATAGATAGATAGATAGATATAGATATATAGATATATAGATATATATATATATAGATAAAGATAGATGTTTTTTTTTTACCTACAATAAACTATGCACCCTGCAATGCAACTACTGCACACATAAATATTTCAATGTTGTTACTAATAATCTACAGTGAATTTCCAATATCTGGTTTTGTTTCCAGTGTTTTATTTTTTTAAACCAAGCACAATCTGCTTTGTCAGATCCTGACAAGGCATTTTTCCCTATACATCCCAAACACCTGGTTTGTTATTAATAAGCATCTATGGTTCATGACTGCTACAGTCACATATATACCTACACAAGCACACATGCACACAGTTGTCTAACCATCATTATTTTCATACCACAGTGTCAGAGCCCATTAGATCTAGGCTGTGAGTACAAAAGAATGGGAGAAATTCACACATGCACATCATTTTCCTGAGGCTACCTGCAAAGAAGGTCAAAGTTCAACACTCTGCTCTCTCTTGAGATCATCATCAAACCTCTAGTCTAGCTGGCATTCAAGTAGAAATGATGGAAATATGCTAACTTTTTGCATATTTGTGAGTAAAACTAGGGGTTATAATATGCACATATATCAGTTGCAAAATGTAACAGGAGAATTAATTTTTGTTTTGCTAGCAATGCTGACAGAAATATATCAACTATATTATAAAGTGGCACAAATGGTACTGAAACGAGTTTGTTTTGCATTGATGGCAGTACCGGTACCTCAGAATCATTTGTGGTGGGTGTTGGACTCCACAGGGCTGCTCTTTGTGAGAAACTGTGTTCATAACCTTTATGAAGAGCATGTCTAGACGTAGTCGGGGGGTGGAGGGTTTCCAGTTCTGTTGGCATAAGATTGAAATTTTGATTTTTGCCAATAATGTGGTTCTGTTAGCTTCAACAAGCTGAGACCTCCAGCAGCCACAAGGAGAGTATTTAGAATAAAAGCATGATTCAGCTAAGGGGAGACATGGCATCTTCAATTCTGGGGTCATTGTTCTCTACTAGAAAAAGGTGGATTGTCAACTTTAAGTTGAGAGTAAACTGCTGCCTGAAGCAAAGAAGTAATGTTGTCCATTGCTGTTTAACAGAAGAGATCAACAGGTGACCTGGGCAAGCAGCTGCAGTGATGTGGATGGTGAACTACACTGTGACGACAAAGAGCTGAGCAGAAAGGCAAAATTGTTGATTTGAGAATTAGAATATGAAAAGAAGATGGATGAAGCTATTGACAAATATTTTAAAAGTTATTTTTAATTAAAATATATTAAGTATTCTGAAAATTATTACCGGTACTTGATTGTATTTTTATGAGAAAAATCACTGTGCAAAAACTGGACAGCTTGTTTATTTATTGTAAAAGGAATAAATGATTTCCCTTGCTTTTTGTGTTATAAAATAAGAAGATTCATTACAAAAATCTATAAAGAGCACACTTGTGTATGTACTGTACACATTAATGCCACAGAATCAAGTTCACACTTCTGTGGCTTCATAAGTGACATGTAAATCGTATACTTAATTCCTATTATTTTAAACGGGAAAGTAACCCAGTTGAACATGCATTAAGATGCTGAACATTGTTTAAATACAGTGCATGTTTCACAGGGGCTTTATTACTTTGAGTTATCAGTTGTGTCACATCATTCCACTGGGTATTATTTAATAAGTTCACAGGCACAGTACACATTAAATAAACATTGCTATAAAATGTAATTATAGGCTTTTTTTTCTGTAGTTATCAGACAGATGGACATATCAAAACAGAAACATACAGAAAGTCTTAAAAAAAAGACTATACTTGAAGACAGTTCGCCTTCATATGAAAACTACACTAAGATTTATTTTGTACATGAGGTTTTCAATTCAGCCAAACTTATTAAAAAGTGAAGATTATCAAGTTTAGTGAAAAAAAGTGGCTGAATTGACACCAAGTCAAGTAGAATTTAAAATGCACTAAAATATGCAACATCTGAGTCCTTCAAATATGTTAATTCACATTAAAACAAAAAATAATAGCGAGCTAAGTTTAATAATTTTTTATTGCCTCTTCTACACATTCTCAATATTCTCAAACTCATTCATATTGTTGAAAGTTATTTGTTTACATCAAATTCAATCAAAGAAACAGAAAATCTATACAAGCATCATAACTAAATACAAACAGAAACCTGCACACAATGTGTCTGCACCATTTAGACACTGGCATACGTAACATTGCACAGAATAAGTGGACTCTATACACCATTTAAAACAGTGCATAGAATGAGGTGAGGGCAGTGTGCATTTAAGTTAACCAAATGTCTAAAAAAAACAAAAAAAACCAACATACTGGTAATAGGGTTTTATTTTAGCCAAACTCTAAATATAAGAGTTAAATTTATTATTAAATTCAGGAAATCTGAGAATGCTATAAATTATAGCTTGATCATCAATTAACAGGAACTTTCCAAAATATTTAATTGTCAATTGGACATTTAAATTGAAATCTGTTAATGACAATCATCAGTCTGAAATATTATTCCTGTTTTTCTCCAGTTAAAATGTAAACTCCTTCTTTGCAGCTTGTCTTGAATTCTAAGAAAGTCATGTGCTGGTAACATAAGGAATGGACCCACCAAAAAGTGAAAATCTTCACATGACCACAACACAGTCCTTTTTTTTTATTTAATAAACATCGGATGAGAACAATGAACAGCCTAGCCATAGGTATAAAAGAGCCCATTCTATTGCTTATTTGTTTTACCGTTTACTGATATTCTGCTCAGGTTTCATAAGTATATTATGTCCCTTTAGTTAAAATGTGAAGAGCAGATTGCTATTGTTTGTTTCTTTTCAGTCTGGTTGTGGGGCCGATTTTGCTTGAATTCCAATGTTTAGATGAA